TGCATCAGCGGGCTCGTCGCTCGCGTCGGCTCTGGGTGTCCCGCTACCGGGATCACGAGCTCGCCTCAGCGCTGACACCAGTGCCATGATCCACGCGCTTGGTCCAAGCCAGTCGCCGGCTGGTAGCCGACCAAATTCCTCGCAGCCCTACCATGGGAGCCCGTCGACCGACGGCGGCATGGGCGGTACAGGTATGTTTGCGCCCCGGACCAGCGGGTCAGATTCCTCGTCACGTCCCCAACGCAAGACCAAGCCTCGAGTCGGCCGCACTTCAGTTGTGGACGCACACGCAAAAGTCGGACGCTCAATTTGGGACAACGAGGATGGCAGTCGTATCGTTCGCCTCGTCTCGGAAGAGCTTCAGCAGGCGCTTGACAGTGGTGCTTTGCAGGAAGCACCAAAGCCACGCTTTTATCGCTTGCTCCCTGGTTGGGGCACATTGAAGACCCGACCTTCCCAGGTGTCCTACGCTGGCCTCATTGGGCAGGCGATACTGCTGTCGTCAGACGGCAAGCTAAGCTTGAATGAGATCTACAACTGGATCAGCGCTTCGTACCCGTATTATGTTCGTGGTGATAGAGGATGGCAAAACTCCATCCGGCACAATCTCAGCCTCAACAAGAGCTTCATCAAGGTCGAAAGAGGTCCAGACATGCCCGGCAAGGGTGGTTTCTGGTCCATCCAGCCTGGTCACGAGAGCAGGTTCCGCTGCGGCCTTTACTTTCCCAATGCATCAGACAATGAAGGCGCCAAGTCCCCTGCAAGATCTTCAGCGCAGCTGGATACTCAGGGAATGCAAGCTGAAAGTGGCTCAGAGAAGCCACTCCTGCGCATGGACGTCTCCCCGTCGGCCCTGCCCGAGCCTTCTGTGATGACGTCGCTACCAGAGACGGCCTCCCTCCAAATTTCCACCGCGGATCTTGAAGGAGGTTGGGAATCGACGGTACCATCTGCCAAACATCAACGTGTTGGCAGCGAGAACGCGCCGATACTTGCTCGCACCTCGACTTCGAGACCTGCTTCTACATCTTCTACAGGGCGACGCAAGCGCGCTGGACCCCCTGACGCCCACTACTCGGAGATGGTCAATCATCACCCGTATGACGCTGACCCAATCGCATCAGGACGATGGAGCGCTCCGCAAAGAAGACGAAGAACAAATGTCCGCGAAGGGCCCGTCCCGGGCGACACCCCCGTCTCTTCAGGCGGACCAGACATAGCTTGGATGGGGCCGAGCCACAGACACAATGAAGCATCAGTCTCACAAGCTTCAAATGCATCCATCGTGTACGTGCCAACATCCTCGTCATGGGACACGAATACCCCTGCCCGCCATGGTCAGCCAGCTTTCGACGTTAGCAGTGGGCACGGAAGCACCCATGTCAGTGCCGTGCCAATGCTGACCGACAGTGCCAGTAGCCCGCCGTCCAGCCCCATCTTAGGCATGAGTGGCATGATAGATCTTGGCAAAGGTGGCATGCATCAACACTCGGCTGCTTCTGATGGTGCCAAGGCCGGAATGTACAAGCCGACCCGGGATGGACGACTGAGCTCGAATGACTTGCGAGGGTCTCAACAGATCGACGACAACGCGCATGATCATTTGCACTACAGCGTCAGTCAATCGCAGGCGTCAGCGGCTGGTGCTTCGTACGACCTAAATTCGGTGTTCAACTACTGGACTAGCATCCCAGCTGCCTCCCCCGGCCAGGACTCACCTCAGGCTCCGCAGCAAGCTTCACCTCTCGCGAGCATAGGCAATCGATTCAAGCAACCCCACTCTCAGATGCAATTCCCTGGCTTGCACGCACAATCTAGCCGGTACACCGGCTCGCCACTGCGACGCTCTCAGCGAGGTTACGAGATGGAGATTGGGTCCCCTCCGAAGCTTTTGAGCACAGAGTCGCCAGTGTCCTCGCTTCGCATTTCCGGTCCTAAAGCCGGCCCTGCAAGCGCTCGTCGCTCTACGTCCCCGCTCGCGGATGAGACCGAGTCGCCAAACACCGCGAAGGGTGCAGCCACAGGTCCGGTAGAAGCCGGCGGCAGACCTCTCATTGGTCTTGGCACACACAGGAGCTCAGGTTCATCAACGAGTCGAGGCTCCTTCTTGGTCAGTCCCTTGCGAGGCTCGCCTCTCCGACCTGCTGG